CAAACTAAACACAATATTCACCTTTCAAAAATCGAATTGAGCTATAAAAAAGAAATTCTGATTCAAAATTGTTCTATTTTTTGCAGCAGATGTTCAGTCTGCGTCTTTCACAAAATACGCAAAATCTCATCTTGATTAACTTGGCCAATAACCAAAACTGTAAATGAATATTACAGAGTTATATTGATCAAAATGTGACATATTAATTTATCAATTAAGTTTATACTATTGTCTTCACTACAATGAACCGAGTCATTGTATTGCATCAGGTGATAGCTAAACACAACTGAAAATTCAAAATAAAGAGACCCAAAGGCTATATAGTGTGCATCTCAGTCTAATCTTAATGCTTCACATCAAATACTAGTTTAGTCCATCTTTGATCATCAAACAAAGAATCCAGTGTGATTCAGTATTATTATAAATTTAATGTCACCCCAAGATGCTAAGTGACGTTTTGCTATCAGCAACAAAATTCTAATGTGGATATCTTCCAACTTTCAGAATTTAAGTTTCCAACAAATGGTGTATTCATAAATGCCACTACAGGTAAATAAATCATCAAATCAAATTTACCAGCAGCAACAATTGTACAGTTTACATAGGTTTTATAGTAAAGGAGGCAGACTGAATGTGAATGTCACAAAGAAAAAATGAATGGTAGTTGAAAAAATTACAGTTATTAAATGGAAATGATAAAAATAATTACTATAATAATATTAATACATTTTTAATTTAAAAAACATTTATTTACCATCATTATTATAAGTATCGTTTCGTTTGTCATCATTGAAACTATATACCACTTCTCCACCGTCACCCAGGTCATTATCGATAGCAATGACAGTAATGATACTATGACCTTTTATTTCATCTTCCCTGACAGAAGCCTTATAAGAGTCATCTGTGAATTCTGGAGCTTCGTCGTTTACATCCAGTATTGTAACTGTCAGCTGTTATATGAAAACAAATAATCCCGCATATCAGACATTATAATTATACATTGTACTTCTGTCATAAGTTGAAGTGTGACGTAATTTTGCGGTATTTTACTGGGTATTTCATTCTACCATATATGGAAATGCAAATCATTACGTGTGTAAGCTAATAAAAACAAACATGGCTGCTACCAGGGTTTGACCAGACTCCATACAAAAAAGTTCGCTGATTCTGTTCAAAACTTGTAGGATTTCGGCATTCCCATGATGTATTCTTAGACATAAAAAAATGTATATTAATAAGGTTATTAAGAGGGTACCTCAAAGTATGCACAAAGACAGTACAGCGAGAGTATCGGCCGACGCGTGCGACGGTGTACTGTCTGCGTGCATACTTTGAGGTATCCTCGTAATAACCTCATAGTATTACCAAAACCAACAAGCTATTAGCCACCCCAACACATCCCTCAATGAATACCCACGTTAAGACAGATTCTGCTGAATACAAATAATGCACTAATGAGCAGGTTTAATGTGCATCAATGCAATGCATTATGGGAGAGAACTGTTTATAATAGAAAACTATTATTATCCAAATATTATCAAAACAATAATATATTTTCATCTCATGTCGTCAGACAAAATTTCAAGATATGTATAACAAGGTGGACTAAACTATACTTACAGTATCAGTTGATTGTAAGTGAGATGATCCACCAGGATTGTCTGAAGCCGTGATACTCAGTAGGTATTTATCAGTGGTTTCTCTGTCTAAGGATTTATTTACATATACAACTCCCTAGAGTAGAAAAAAACATAATGCAATTAAAGAGTACATACCTTAAAATGATTTGAACATGTAAATGAGTATATCTTTTCATTCGTAGTTAAGACCTCTTAGTATTAAAAAGATAATTACTGAGCACAAAATTTGCAATAATATCAACATTTTAGACAATAATAATTTGTATTCTTATTTCATGTACTAGGTTTCAGATTTCTGATTATTTCATTTTATCTCTGCACTCCTTATAAACATTAATCACAGCCAGGAACTCACAGTTGTGTATTCTTTATTCTGTTATATATATTAAGTATGTTAGAATACTGTAAAAGAATTTATTATTCACTGGGTTTTAATTTTGCTGACTGGAAAATGTGCTAAATTAAAACCCAGTGAATATGTAAAAATGAGCATGGAACGCATTATCTAAATGATAAAACTGTGAATTTAAAATCCACTGAAAATGTCTGAAATGCTAAATCAGTGAAATTTAAACCCAGTGAAAATTAGTCATTTTACAGTAATGTTTGCAACTAGTTTAATGACATATATACATATGAGCAGAATGACTTACAGTATACATGTTAATGTAAAACATTTTGTCTTCATCACCAGCTGTTATACTATATACAATGAAAGCATTGTTTCCAATATCATCGTCTGTAGCGGATACAGTAAAAATCGGTGTTCCAATGGTAGCATTTTCCAGCACTTCAGTTTCATTTTCAAGGTTGGTGAACACTGGTGCATTGTCGTTGATATCAGTAATTTGGAAATACACTGCAGCTGTTGAATTCAAAGGAGGATTTCCCTTATCCATCGCTCCTACTGTAATGTTCAACCACTCATATTCTTCACGATCAACTTCATAGTTGAGAGTAATATCCCCTATAGAATGAACAGCATAATAAATAACACTAGTGATATTTTGTAAACATGACAACATAAAATCTATGAAGTTTCCAGTCAGTTATGGTATTGCTGAACAGTTGCACTACTATGAGGTAATTATGAGGATACTGCAAAGTATGTACGAAGACAGTACAGCAGTCGCATCGACCAATGCGCAGCGGAGGTCGATGCGACTGCATACTGTCTGTACCTAATTATTATACATTTTCCTCCCAGGGATACATCACAGGAATGCTGAAATCCAATACGTTTAGAACAGATTTAGCAAATACTTTGTGTGTGTCCGGTCAAACGCTGGGGGTAGCCATGTTTGTTTTTATTATTAGAGGACACTTACGTGCATAATCGTTCCATATTTGGAATTTGTGTTTCCTATTATGCTAGGATGAAAAATACCCAGTGCAATATCACAAAATTACGGAACGCTGTAACTTATGGCGTTACGGTGACAGATGTATAATAATTATTAAATATTTGCCTAAGCGCTGAAGATACTCACACTCACATGAAATTTTATTTTATTAAAAAAACACCAATAAACAAACAATAGACTGTATGCAAGACTATGGGCACTGTGAGAAAAGTAAAACGATGTCCAGAGACTAGGTTTCATGACTTGATGGTCACATTTTTGGCGTTTTGAAAGTTAAATGCTTCCAATCACTGAACAGTATTGCACATTGGGTTCACCGTGAGTGAGTGAGAAGGAGTGCACACCACATGTTGCATTGTTCACCATGCCTAGTAAAATATTTGCAATTTATTATTTATTAAATGGCTACTGTATCAATCATGATTTTCATGGATTGAAACACAATTTTTTTCAAGCATCGTTTAATAAACAGCATCTTTATTCTTTAGATTAAACCCATTATCAATGCCTGATAAAAATGGGCAGGGATGCACTCAAATAGTTAAATGTCTAAAAATATACCCAGGCTGGCGGGCCTATGACAGGAAAGCATAATAAATCTACACAAAAACTAAACAAGCAGCCTGTCGGCTGAGATAGCTCTGCTGTTAGCAATGCACATTTCAATTGAAGAACTGAAGATATCATTAGAAAAGGAACAATATGTATAGTATCAAAGCAATCAGACTTGCTGTTTGCAACAAGAATTCGAAAGTATCACTTTTTACCAAAAAAGACAAAAATAATCATTAAAATTAGAGAATTGAACATATCATCATAAAATGAACAAATCTGAGAGAGGTCCACATGAAGTACTTATATATGTAATATCAAAACAATCAGACTTGCGGTTTTTAACAAGAAGTCGAAAATACCACTTTTTACCAAATATGACAAAAATATTCACCAAAATTAGAGAACTAAAGATATCATCACAAAATATTCACTAAAATTAGAGAATTAAAGATATCATCACAAAATGAACAAATCTGAGAGAGGTCAACATGTAGTACCTATATATGTAATTTCAAAGCAATCGAACCTGCGGTTTTTAACAAGAAGTCGAAAATACCACTTTTTATCAAAAATGACAAAAATATTCACTAAAATGACTTGCGGTTTTTAACAAGAAGTCGAAAATACCACTTTTTACCAAAAATGACAAAAATATTCACCAAAATTAGAGAACTAGAGATATTATCACAAAATGAACAAATCTGAGAGAGGTCTACCCAAGGTACATATACACCAAGTATCAAAGCATTCAGATTTGTAGTTTTCAGGAAGAAGTCAAAAAAGTAAAACATTGACACGGACGACGGAGCCGACGGACAATCAGAGCTAAAAACAATGTTTATGTTGTTTTCATTGGTACATGTAAATGGTATATGAACTAAATAGCCTCAGCAAAAAAAATTCAAAATTAATACATGCTAGCATATTTTTGTTATTAAATTATACATACTTTAATTTTAATTTCTCATTCACTTTCTCTAAATGTTGTAATGCACACATTTTTTAACCACTAGGACATACCTGTTTCTTTGTCAATTGTCAAGTGTCCAGTACTGTTCTCAACAATGTAATACTCTACATCGCCATTGGTTCCTTTATCTGGATCTTCAGCTGTTACATCTGGATAGACAACGTCAATATTCTCCTCCTGCAATGTTCCATAGTAGTAATTCTCACCATCCATATTTTGAAAATGAGGTTCATTGTCATTCACATCCTCCACGCGTACTTCTAATGTTGCTGTAAATACGATAGAATATTGTACTTTCATTATAGTGACCAGAAAAAATCAGAAAACATTTGCATTTATGATGATTTTATTTTCAGTTAAAGCTTGGCTCCTCAATCTGCAGGATTGCACCAGTGCATGATGGGAAATTTTAATGGACAGCCCCTTGTTTAATAGGTACAAACATGTTACCAGACATGTTAACCCTGCGTATTTCCATATCATACACCGGTCTATTTAATTCAGTAATGTAAGAGACTGAAAGTTAGATTTTCTTTATGCAAATTTACATATTCTTGAATCCAAGTAGAGTTACATTTTTGAATCATGATGCAAAATTCGATTAAAATCACTGCCTACAATAAATCTCTTCCCGAGCTTGAACTTCACAGAGACATCGGTGAATTAGGGCAACTGCCTTGATCATCAAGGAGTTTACCTTAATGCCTTTCAAAAAAATACAAATTTACCCCATTCTATTTCTAGATGTACATTTAATAGGGTGAATAATTTTATCAAATTTTGTGTTGAAAATGGGGACCCTCTCAACTCTCAAAAGTTCAAGCCCTGTTCCCCCAAGCTCACTCTCTTTAATGTTGTACACACTTGCTCGTTCTCTCAATTAAGAACACCACTGATAGTGTAGTTGTCGTGCCACACATGTGTGAGATATACGGGTCTCATATAAACAAAGATTGTGCCTTTGACTGTTGCGCAGATCAACGAGTAAAAACTGAGACATTACCAAGATTTAATTAGGTATTTTTAGGTGATTAGAAGATAACGAAGAAGTCACCTCTGGTAATTAGTGCAAGTCGCACCCAGGTCAAACCTGATACATGTGATTTACATTAAAAGAAAAACAATGTTTATCAACACAAATATCGCACATGTGCAGTGCCACGACCACCGCCCTTTAACATACCTTCATCAAATTGAGTCTCAATATTCTCCACAGCATTAAGATCGGTAACCATAATGTCTAAATGGAAGACTTCAGCTTTTTCCCTGTCTAGTAATTCATTTACATAAACAGTACCAGTAGTCTCATTAATTCTGAACTGATTGATATATAGATTATCACCATGCTCATCATAAGATACATCTTCACCTCGTTCATTGATCGCCCCAATATTAGTAATGTTGTAAAAAAGATCAGCATTCTCATCTGGATCTGTCGCCGACATCGTTGTAACTTCAGTTCCTATATCAACATCTGAAACCCAAAGAACAGATAAATGAATCTATTAAATTTCTTATTTCATTTTTTACAATAAAATCTGATCTGCATTACCTGCAATGTTTAACTAGCAGTCTAGCGACTATTTCCCTAAAAACAGAAGGTGAATGATGTTTTTTCTGAAATGCTCAAAGCTGAAACTGAATCACTGATTAAATGTTTGCACTGTCAATATAAATACTACCCGGTAATACACATTTTGAGAAGTAAAAAATTAGCAAATTGAAGTTGAGAGAGGTCCACCGAGGGTACCAACATATATACATGTACTATGAAAGTAATCGGGCTAGCCATCTGCAGTAAAAAATCAATTATCATATATCCAAGAAGCTAGCAAGCACATTCTCACAATTATGCGTTTCCACAATCAAAATATAGATATTTCAATTCCTTTGCTATAAAATACTAGTCCAAATATAGAAAACAATTCAAACGACAACAGCCAGTTAACAGTATCGATAAATGTTGTCGTTAGAGTTAAGTAAAGAATTTAGTCACAAATCTATACACAATTTGAATTACTTGCTATTTTTTTCCCATATATATATATGTAAGTCATATTTTAATAATTCATCAAACAATAAATGCCCGTTTTGATTGATGTGCACTTCTATTGGAGATGCACTCCTAATAGTCTAATATAATATGGTGAACATAAGACTAAAAGAAAAGTTGTGTTTGTGGTCAGCATATGCATCACCAAAAATTCTGTAAAAGCTCCCTCAATTGCCAATTTGATAAAACCTGTAAAATTTGAGCCCCATCAAAAAATATAAATATTAAATATTACCTTCTAAAAGTGATTCAACAACTTCTTCTAAATCAAAAACTGGTGGTTTATTGTTGATATCAATAATTTTTACTTGCACTGAGGTCTCGTTATACAATGGGTTGTTACCACGGTCAGTTGCTGATAACACCATGTCATAAAAATCACGACCAGTTTGTTCTGGGTCTAGGTTTGCAACACCTGGAGCAACTGTCACATTGGTGTACGGACCAGATGTTGGAATCAAACTGAATTTATCGCCAGAACCGCTAACAATCCTATAATCTATGATACTATGATGTTTAAATGGACTTTCTTCCCATGATGCATCAAGGTCACTAGCGAATACAGTAACTACGTAATCTGAAACACACAAAAATAAATTGTTATTATTGAGCATTTGGCAGAGAAAAAAATTTAAATAGCTTTCCATAAAATACAGATGCTTTTTAGTTTTTTTATTAAAACAATGAGACGCTGAGTTGTTCAAGAAATGACCACACCAACTTTTGCGAAACCACACTCCAATTGTAACTTGATGTTTAATTAATAGTTAACAGAACTTTGAGTTGTGGGTAACTTATATTTAAGTTTTTGTTGAACATCCACATTTAGTAACTTGAACTTTAACTGACAGTTATCCGAACTTCAAGTTATGAGCAACATAACATTTTTGTTTTGTTTAACATTTTATGTTTCCC